CAAAACTGGTCCCTCTGTATGGTTCCTCAGTACACAACTCAACCCTAAGGGAGATTAACCATATTTCTTTCTCCAGAACAATTATCCCCACCCACTAGCTTTTCCCTCCTTTACCTTCCCTTCGGCCAGTCCAAAAACAATGATGTACTCCACTGGCCACTGCAGACAAGTCACAGCACTCTGTAAGACAGAAAGAAGGAAAAGGGATGTCACTTCTAAGTGAGTTAGCACATTTATAAGAACATAAATCTGAACTACCCGGACACCTTGCCTCAAATGCCACCACCCCAATCGCCTTCAGGGAAGGAGAGGCGGGGATACAACTGGGCTCTAAGGACAGAAGCGGATGAGGATGAGCAGCCAGGGAGCACCATCCTTGCAGGAGGAAAAGTCAGATACAGATGTTAAAAAATGCAACTCTGGTTGTATTTATAAGCAGGTATATTGATGCATGTTTGTTCACCCTAATCTCCCAGGGACTGGTCTGAACTTTACCGTCTGGATGAACTTGTTACAGATGACTTTCTTGTCACCCCTGCCAAATAAAAGGAGGAAAAGCATATTAAAAACCATTTTCATTGATAAATTGACACAAATAATGCTAGGGGAAGGGGAAAAAAAGCAGATGTGTTCCTACCACTCCATAGGTGCCCTGAAAGGAGGCATAAGAGGGAGCCTGAGTAGCTTTGGAACAATAACAAAGAGGCTACATCGCCCGGGGCTCCCCAGGATCTCACAGGGCCTCCTTGTTGACTTAGACTGATTCCTCCAGGGACAGGGTCACAGAACACATGGGGCAGACAAAGGCAGGGAAGCAAAAACAGACTCTGCCTTCTGTGCCCCAGCTTGGCTCCCCATCCTCTCGATTCTCCCTCCCCAGTGGGGCATTTCCTCCTGCCTTCCCCTTCTTTTCCAGGACACCCCCTTCTCCCAATCTCTACCCTTACCAATCTTCTCCAATCTTGTATACATAGATGATGTTGTCAGTCTGTCCTATGGCAATTTTAGTGGAATCAGGAGAAAAAGCCATGCCCTTCACCATATAGCTCTTTCTGCCATACTAAGAGTTAAAAAAAGAAGTAAAAAGTAATGAGAATATGTGAAAGAAAAAAGAAAAGGTGCATGTGTGACTGTAATGAGCTTGAGGGATTTAGTCTGAGAAATGGGGGAGCAGGCCACTTCCTATGCCTGTGGCTGAGAAGTGCGTTAGAAAGTTTTTCAGGTTCCTAAGGCTCCATCAACAGGTTAAGGTACACTCTTCACCTTCATGTCAGCTGGTTTAGTGGAGAATTTATCTCTCCGCTCCCCATGTTCATCATATAGCAATACCACTCGGTCCACTGTGCAGACAGCAAATTTGGCATTGTTCTGGGACCAAGCCATGCAGGTCACCTTTGCAGCTCCATCCTGCAGAGGCAAAGAGAGCAAAAATAAATCCAAGTGCACCCTGGCTGGTGTGGCTCAGTTGGTTAAGCATTGTTCCATGAACTGAAAGGTTGTCAGTTCGATTCCAGGTCAGGGCACATGCCTGGGTTGTGGGTTTGGTCCCTGATCAGGGTGCTTAAGGGAGGCAACCAATTGATGTTTCTCTCTCTCTCTCTTTCTCTCTCTCTCTCCTTCTCCCTAAAATCAATAAAAACATATTAAAAATAAACAAATAAATTCAAGTGCTAGTCTAGAATGCCAAAAGCATTTCTAGTTTCATTACTTCTAGTGTGACTTTTGTCAATTTTCCTAAAACAAAGGGATGCCCATGATCCATCTGGTCTCCAAGGCCATAAAACCCTAGACTGTGAGAATAAGGTGCTTCTAGAAACCCATAATGCAAATGTACTAAGAGGTGACATACTTAGTCAACTGTACCAATGTGTCCCTGCAATGACCTTGTCTCCTCATACCCCAGGTCTGCTACTAAGATAAATTCAATTGATCTAAGTTTTGGTCTTTAGCCTTTTATTCAATTAACATTTTTTGAGTACCTCACTGAGAAAGGCACTCTGTCCCTGCCCCTGACCTACTAAGATGGTGCAAAAAAGGGGAAAATTCCCATAAGCGAAGTATGTATAAAGCACTATAATAGTTTGTAGAAGCCTGAGATAACTTATGTTTATATGATCAACATAAGCTTTGAGGAGTGAATGCAGCTGAGTGGGGAAATTACCTTAGGTAGAAGGAATGGCATGAGCAAAGGCAAGTAGGCTCAAGGAACAGTAATTTAATTTAGCCAAAACTGTCTTGTAAATAGCAGAATAGAGGAGATAAGGTAGGAAAAACAGACTGAGGCAAGTTCAAGAAGGATCTTCGAAACTAGGACTTTGGGTTTATTTGGTAGGAAAGAGAGAGACAGTAAAAGTTCTGGAATAGGGAGTAAAGTAATCAGAGTTGAGACTTAGGATGAACAATGCCATCTTGTTTTTGTTTTTCCCCCTTAACTGTCCACTTCACAGAAGTCTAAGTTAGAAGGCATCATCTCCCAGTGAATTATTCTTGCCACGTCTGTCCCTCCTGCCACCAGCCCTGGTCCTCTGTGGTTCTGCACTAGGGATTTCCCTCCTTGGAATAAAAAAATTTAGTGTCTGCTTCAATTGTTTGATTAATTACTTGGGCTCTAGAGTGCTGGCTTAAAACAGTTACTTTTCACTCCTAACCCGGTTACCTCCAAAGTCAGAGGTTTAAAAAGGCTTTTTTAAAAAGTCAAAATCCTCACTCCAGAGTCAGAAAGTAGTCCCATCACCACCAGTCTTACCCTCCAGGTCTTAATTAAATTATATCAGAAGGGCTGCGGGCTCCTTAACAATCATTGCTGATCATCTTCCTTCATCATTTTTTCCAATCCTGGGCATTCAGCCCTTTCCTGCATCATGACATCATCTTATTTTGAAAGACTGAAGGAAGATTTCACTTCCAATTATTCCATTAGGGTAAAGAAAATTTTAAATTGCAGGCTCAGGGGAAAGTTTACTAAGCAATGGACACATCTATCTTTTATTCTAATTTCCTTCTATTCTCCTAATGCCATATCCTCTGTTAAGCCTTCCTGATTCCCACAATCAATCAATTCTCCTTTCTCTGCAATATGTACTTCACAGGGCTGTTGTGAGGGTTAAATGAGGTAGGAAATAGAAAAATAATAGCTAACCTTTAACAGGTGCTTACCATAGACTAGGCATTTTGATAAGTGCTTGATATTCCTTATCTTGTTCTACCTCATAACACTGAGGTAGATGCCATTATTATGCATCTTTCACAGGTGGGGAAACTGAGGCATGGAAAGGTTAAGTAATTTGCTCAAGCTTACATATACAATTTGTAAGAGACAGGACCAAGATTTACATCCACGTATGTCTGACCTCATAAACCACAATCCTAACTTCTTTACTCTTACAACATTCAGCTCTGACAGACATTATTCTTACTAGTTTTGTACCATTTTGTTTTGCATTTTGAATGTCCTCTCTTGTCTATCCGATTTTTACACTTTTTTTCAGTTTATCATGTTCTTTTGTGTATACGACCTCCTTTAACTCTTCCCAGATCCCCTATTCACTGCTGCTATTAGAGCGAGTGCTGACAGAGTCTGTGTGATAAAGGGATGAAGTCTGAGCTATGAGGTCTGCTTAAAGCAGCGGTGCCGCTAGGACTTGAATTCTGGTTTCCTGACTCCAAAACCCAGCCTTTCTGCACCATGGCTCAGGGTTCCTGCCCCGGTACCCAGCCTCCTGTCAATCAGAGGTCTTCACCATCGGAACGAACGGGGGCGTCGTCTGCACCCCCTCTTTGGGGCTCGCGCTGAGAGCGCTTCTCGAGTTCGGTGTAGGTCTCCGTTCGTCTTTACACGCGCTCCTCTCCCTCCAGTACGAGCCTTTCGGAGGCAGGAGCAATAAATAGCAGCTGGTTCTGGATCCCTCCGAGCCCCAGCACGGGGCCTAGTACGGACCTGCCGCTAAATGAAACGCAATGAAAGCTGCGGTGGGTAGCGATCCATCTCGCCTGCTGGGCGCTACTGACGCCGCAGAGACCCGATCACCGCTATGGCCTCCAGTCTCCTGCACACAGTAGGCGCTCGACACGATTCCACTTCAGTCCCCACTTCCCTCGGCACGTGAGGGCGGGCGGGGGGAGGGACGAGGCGCGCAACTCCTCACCTGGGGGCTCAGCAGGGTTCTCAGGTGCTTCAGCTGCATGACGAACACCTGTCTCTCAGATGCCACCCGACGGCGACAACTCCCGCGGTTACCTGGACAACCCGTCACGCAGCCGCAGATGCGCGGCTGACGCAGGCGCGGCCGGAGCGCTCCGCCAGTCGCAAGGTCGCCACGTAGGCTCGCGGCGGAGCGACCGGGACGTGCGCAGGCGCAGTGAGACGGAGGGCGGGGCCAGGGCAGGACCTGAGGAACCCTCTCCCTGACTAACCCCGCGGCCGCCTGCAAACTCCAGAGCGAGCCCAGCTCGCAGCCCGCTGCAAACCCGGGGGCTATGCAATCGAGGTCTTTCCAGCTTTGATTACGTAAGCGTGGCTGAGTGCATTCTTTTAATTCTCGCAGCCTTGAAGGAAAGCAGGGCAGTTGCTATTCTAGACCTTTACCAGTTGACGGAATTGAACCGAAATGAGTTTTAGGACTTGCCCGGGATCACAGGCTAATAATGATAGCTAACAGGGAATACTCAGTATGCGTCTGCCAGGTTTACTGTGCAAAGTGTTGCACATGCATTATCTCAATTTAAGCTCAAAGCCACATTTTGAAGGGGGACAGTATTATTAGTCCCATTTTACATAACAGGAGACTCAGGATTAGAGGGGTCCTTAGCCCAAGCTAACAGTCAGTTAAGGATGGAACTGGGATTCAACCCAGAGCTGGCCCATTTGAACACCCTTTATATTCCTTCTCAACTCCTACTTCCCTATCTCCATGACACTATACCCTGTGACACTCCCATCCCAAGAAATGACGTGCTCAGTCTGAGAGAAGAGTGTTTTGGAACCAGTGGCCAGGGAGAGGTCAGGTAATCTGCTTCCAAATTGGGTAATGGTGGATTAAAGACTGCTGATTAGATCAGGATACTTTCATGGTTCAGGGTGGAGAGCAAATCAGAAACTGGCTCATCTGTAAATTAAGATTGTCTTGTGATACCTGGGGTTAGAGCTTGGTTAAGTAGAAAAGATATTGACTTACTGAGCTTTGTTTGGGTCAGGGTCTCTTTCAGAATTCTTGCTTTAATTTCTTGTAACATACCAGAGAGATCAAGATTCAGAAAAGCAGAGTTAGTCATAAGCCTTCTCTGGAAATATCTGAGGTTGAGAAGACCTGTAACCCTCCAGAAAGTGTAGCATATGATGTCCAGACAGATTCTGGGTTCCGAAGCCTTTACCCCACTGTGGTTGCAAATGTCAATTGGTATTTCACTGGCACAAACCAATTGGAACTCAGGAAAGAGTAGAGGACTGCCCCTGTTTTCACAGGAAACAAATAGGCCCCAGAGCCTAAATTATAATTCTTTTGACAGGGGAGTTTGAATACTTCAGTTTTATTTCCAGAATCCTCCTCTGGATATGGTGGCAGGAAGTGAACATAAAGTCATTTATGCTTTACAATTATTATTGACCTTGACAGAATGGACAGAGACAGAGACAAAAGGGAAAGCAAGGGCTGGGAAGAATAGGAACAGGAACACACAGGAGGAGCGTGTGGCACCAACGGATCCATTAGTGTAGCTGTTCTTTCGTTTTCTCCAAGACTCTCTGTTCACTCCTTTTCTGAAAATTAGCTCAGGGTTGATGGAGGATTCAAAGGAATAAAGGGTGAGGAGCTGGGCTGCTGATGTGAAGTTAAAAAGGCTATTGACCTTCTTATGTGACATAACCTTCATTTCCACTGGTGCAGGAAGAATTTATATCCTTTCTCCCCTTTCTCACCCAACAAAGCAAAAGGAACTAGGGCTCTAGTTTTCTTTACCCTTTTCTGGCCCCTCTCCACCCAGTCCAGGCTGGAGAATCAAAGCAAACACCTTAAAATGAGAGTTTGCTCCTGTCAAGTTGGTGGTGGTGTGAGGGGCCCTTGTAGTCAGAGGACAGAAGGCGGGGAAAAGTCTTCAGCATACTTTACAGTCAGCTCCAGTTTGTCCAAGAACCTTTATTGGAAAAATGTCCGAGGAGTGAGATCACCAGCAGCTGGGGGTGCTGCCAAGTGAGAGGGGGAGCACCTGAGGCTCCATGGAAGACATTGGAGTAGTGCAGTGCAGTGTCTGTCATTTTTTATTTGCTGGGAGAGGGGGAGTACCCACAGAAACCCCTCTCTGAGACCTGGAGGCAAGATGTGGGGGCAGCTGGGGATGCTGAGTCCTGATACAGGTGAAATGGGGACTCCATTTGGGACCTAATGGGATAGGGTTGAACAAGTGATTTTCCCCTGGACCTGGGGGATGGAAAGACATATCCCATCTGATACCCACTCCCCAGGTGCAGGGACACAGACCCTCACAGACCTACCTTCTGGCCCTGTTCACAGTGGAAAGAGGATGGGTACCAGGCCTGAGATTGTGGGAGTGTCATTATCTTCTGGGAGACTGTGGGATCCTTCAGTCTTGGGCAGATCACCATCTTAGGCTCTCCCTGACCCCATCCCCATCCCCAGGTTGTTAGTGCATCTCTCTTCTGGTTCCGGTTCTTCACTCATACGTCTATGGTGTTGATGGACGGTGACTTTTTCTGTGAATGAAAATGGCTTGAGTCTCTAATTTCAGGAAGGCAGTACCTCCTCCATCCCAAATTTCCATTCTCCCTTTTCCTGCCCTTCCGTGGCTTTCTCCCTTTTCCCTGGCTGCTCCTAGAAGTAAAATCACCCTTCCCTCCCTCGTTGGCCCCACATCACCTGTCTTGTCCCCACCGGCCTTCCCTGAGGACTCTGCTCTGGCCCCTTCCCCTTCTCCTTGGGGTTGTTGTTGGAGTCATTGTCCTTGATGATATCATACTGACGGCAGAACAGCCCGATTACAGCTGAAACACAACAAAACAGTCTGAGCCTTGATCCCAGCCTCCCCACTCACAGCCTCAAAGGGCAGTGATACCCGCAGTCAGATAGAGAATCTGAGAAGAACATCCTTGAATTCCTAGTGCCCATGCACAAGTACCACCCTCTTAAATCTTTCTCTCTGGGCTCCCCACAGCCTCCTCTCCCTCGCTTCAAATTTCTGCTAATTCCTCTCAACTAAGCATCTTCCCACTCCATTTCTGTCACCCCCTTTTCTCCCAACAACCTTCACCACCTCCCACCTTCACTGAGCCCTATTCCCTCAATCACTGGTCCCCTGTCCAGCTGCTTACTCACCAGCCCACATGAGCAACACCACCACAATGATGACCACTTCCCCTGTCTGCAGTGGTCGCTCTCCATCCAGACCCTCCACTGTGATGTCACCTGAGAAGGAAGGAGACAGACTCCAGGTGTGGGGACTAGCTAGAGAGCTATGTCTTTGCAGACAGTTAAGGATGGAGATGCTGGGGATCAGAGTCAGGGTAGACCTATCCCAGTGTTGACCCTGGTAGCCCCTCTCTGGGAAGCTGTTGATGGACAGGTGGTCAGAAGTCAAAAAGCAGAAGGGCCACAGGTCAGGTACTTGCTCATGCAGGCTGCAGCGGCTGTGAACTGAGGTTGGGTAGAAGGAAACTGAAAAGCCCTTCCTCCAAAAGATTCATTACCAGCCTGTCTATACTCAATCGCCTGCCAACATGCTTTCCTTCCTTTCCTGGCAGTAACAACGAATTAAATCATCCTTCTATTCATCTAAGCTAGACTGTCACTTGCTTTGGAGAAGTAAACAAGAGGCTAAAGTCCAGATAAAAAGCCAGAGAATGCAAAGCTTTAGGGAGTGGGGAATAACTGAGACCCTTACCTGGGCTCGAGCTGTTTGAAGGTAGCCGGTCAGAACCCTTGAGAGTTCGAAAGTGCACCCGGGGCCCTGGGGGGCTCTCTCCCCGAAGGCCAATGCTCCTGACCTGCACCGTGTAGTCGCTGTCTTCAGCCAGGCCCCAGAGGGCACAGGCTCGGGTGGTGGTGTTCACCTCCCGGATCACACGCTGTCCAGGGCCATTCTGTCGCTTCAGGGAGACAATGACGGAGAGAAGGGCAGCTTCACCCCAGTCCCAGGCTACAGGCTCAAGCCAGCACTCTTGAACATCCAAGCCAAGGAAGTAGGGTGAAAAGGGCAGCTTGAGCCAGGAAACACCAGCTCCCACATTCTCCCCCCGCTGGGAGGGAGCTTGGGGGGGAGGGGGAGGTTATCAAAGGAATATTCAGAGATCCAAGGACACAAATTAGGGGAGCAGAAGGGCGATTCATACTTGCTGGGAAATGGAGTAGCCAATGACGATGTTGCCTTCTGGGACGTCCCAGGACACAGTGGCCGAGTTGGCTCTTAGGTGAGTGACTGTCACATTCACAGGAGATGGAGGCCGGTCTGTGAGTGTGGGTACGGTCACAGTTAACAGGTTCCATCCACAGACTAGCTCTGGTTAATCCCCACCCCATCTCCTTTACTCACCTGCTCGCACAAAGCCCAGGTCACAACTGACCAGCAGGAGGACCGTGGGACTTAGGTAAGGGGAGAGGGGCATCAGGGAAGCCATGGTCCCCACTGAGTCCGCTAGGAGGCACTGGGGCATCCGCTTGACATCCAGGCGGCGCTCCTGGAGATGCCAGGAGTT